AGAATCCTGAGTGCATTGCCATTTCCTCCTTCAGGGGATCTTCCAGACCTGGGGGTCGAACCCTGCGTCTTTTGCATTGGCAGACAGATATTTTACCCCTGCAGCACCTGGGTCAACATCAGAGTTTACCCAGCCTGGAAGCATCACTCCCTTGTGGGTTAGTAAGGGAAGAGAACCTTCACTGTACCTTCATCTGGGCTGGTCTCTCCAGTAAGCAAGGGGACTGGTATGAAAGAGCAGTGGACACAGTGTGGATCTGAGATGGCTTGGGAGTTGGGCCCGAGTTCTTCCTTAGTACAAGGGGTTGCTGTCACAGAGAAAGGTGCAGGATATGCAAGGACTTTATTCATACAGTATTCATACAGTATTCATGGTTAAAAATATAAACTTCAGCGTCAGACAGACCTGGATTTAAAGCCCAGCTCCAACATGAACTACCATGGGGACCTCTTAAAATTTACTTAATCTCCTGGTCTTTAGGTTTAGGTTCCCAACTCATAAAATGGGAAGAAAAATATTCTTCCTGACTCATAAGCTTGCAAAAATGACATGCTGTGTATGAAATACCACATCAGTTAAGACACAAACTAAGCATTCAATAAGGTAGTGATTTTTTTCCATTATTAAGAGAGAGAATCAGGAATGCAAACTTACATCTAAGAGAAGATCCTGACATAGCTAGTTTTCAAGTTTTAGAATGAATTAGGGAAAGGAGTTTATGGAATAGATTTTCTTGGAAATCTTTAAAAGTAATGCTTGTTTTTTACTTTCCATGTTGGCTTAAATTGCCTTTCCATTGAGATTGGAACTAAATAATTAATGGCAACAGTTTCCAAATTAGGAAGATGTACTCAAAATGTGCCCAGAGAAACACTCTTTTAAGAAGCAGGAAAATCCATCTTTGTTCCTCTTCTTAAATGTGGTACCTTGGAAAATACATACTTCACTTAAACATCTGTTCAGAGGTACATATTAATGGAATTTAATGGGGAAGACAGGCTGCAAGGGATTGCTTCACTTCTTTCTTACCATTTGCCATGGACCACATTTTTCTGCTTCTTCATTACTTGGCCTTTTTCAGTGGCAAAATTAAGGAAACAGGGACATATGGAAGTTGGTACTTTCTTAGAACTAGCCAGATGGAAAAGTGAGGTCATCACGGCCTACCTAAGAAGTAAGAAAATATTACCTGCAAACACCTGAGCCCCTTGAATTATATTGACAATATTTTTTGGAGTCCAGAGCAGTCCTTACTTAAGGATTTTGAGTACCTGTTTCATTTTAATCAGGAGACTGGTTCCGACACTATGTGTTTAATTTCAAAATTCAGTCTGGCTACACTGTATCAATTTATACAATATGTATGCTTAAATAGGTTGGAAAAAAAGGCCCCTAAATTAGTAGGGTCAAAAAATTTACAGAAATCTGGAGAGTATAGAGAATATCTCTAAAGTCCAAGCACATCATAGAGGTTTGAAGGTTGATAATAGCTTTATGATGTTAGTATAAATGAACATATTAGTCAATAGACTAATCAATGATGTAAATACTGCCTGCATAGAACTGTACAGGTTGGGTTTGGGGGATATGAATAGTACAGAAGGAATGTAAGACTTGACCTTTGTGCCTACTCAGGAATATAATAACATAAAGATGATAATGACAGGCACAATTGTAGAGTTTGTATTATATAGGTGTAGGGATTTCCGATCCTGGCACCTTTCCTACACAGCTTTTGAAAATGTGTATGTTTCTTCTGTAGGATTCTAAGCTGACTGCTCCTTTTTTCATATCAGCTTTATCTGAGCCTCTCTTTAGAATTCCATAGTAGCAACTTTCTGTGTTCCTGCCTGTCTGGATCACCTTGTCAAGATAATCATGTTTTTCAGAAGTTCTAAACCTTTCTGTGCTCAGAACTACTTGGGTGTCTTAATAATATTTGGAAGCTGTCTTTCCAATTGTCATAACCTAAGCTTTCTGTCAATCAGTGTTTATACATCTTCAGACTATCTCCAGGCTCTGACCTAGTGCTCCTTTTATGTCAGGATACTGCCAGTTCCTATTCACACCATCCTGGTCCTGCTCTTTATTTTGCCTTTTCCCTCAACCATTGATTCTCTGTCCACCAATGGCATTATCCAGCACTGAAATTTTCCATACTGGCCAGAGTTGGGAAGATTGGTGACTCAAGTGTAACAGATGAAAGCAACATTAATTAAAGGGCCAAAGACTGTGAATATAAAATTTCTCTCAAATATCATACACCAGAAGTTCTCAACATTTACTAAGGGTCAGCATCCTAGGGACATTCTTTGAGCATCACTGTCACACATGGATTAAAATCATTTCCATGTCACATATAAACAAAACAAAGGGCCATCTCACTTAACTGTGTGAGGGAGTTCTTCACCTGAAAGTCCCTGGAGATTCTGATAGGATTCTAGGTATCCCTGGAATTCCACCAGTTGTACTTTATATTACATTAGCATGTGTGATATTCCATCTGGATGCTTCAGAGAACCCACTGCTCTCAGAAAGTGAAAGTGTTAGTCGCTCAGTCATGTCCAACTCTTTGGGACCCCATGGTATGTCCAAGGAATTCTCCAGGCTAGAATACTGGAGTTAGTTGTCATTCTCTTTTCCAGGGGATCTTCCCAACTTGGGGATTGAACCTGGCTCTCCTGCAATGTTCTTATTATGGTTAGCAGAATAATTCCACTAGTACTACATAGCCCTTTGTAATCAATTACTGCATTCTTTTATGATTATCCATTGATTCCTATCAAGATGTAGATGAACCAACCAATCAGCCAGAAAGTTTAGATGGAACACCTCTGGATCCAAAGATTAGAGTCCCTGCTTACAGATAATCAAGGGAAGGACATTGACATCTACGATTAAGACCCCTGAGGGTAAGAACTTTGCTTCTCTTGCTCCAGACTTGTCCCATGTGCCTAGAAGAGCACCCAGTAAATCACAGGAGTACAGTCAGTCATTATTAAAGAGGTGAATTAGAGACCTTAGGAGTTTGTACAGTACATATCATAATGATATTGCTGGATAAACAAAATGCCCATGGTGGCTGATTGGACAGAGCCCTTACACCTGGAGAGGACTGCTGACTAAAGTAAATAAGGGGCTCAATTGAGACTGCATATTAATAAACTGCAAACTTGCTTCAAATAGGGAAAACAAATTGAAATTTAAATATGTCACAATTTCAAATCTTTCTTTACACCTGATGTTTGACATAGGAAAGAACTCAGTTAAAGACTATCTGGAGGTGAAGAAGATCACCTCTTCACCACATCCTTCTCTTGAGCAAGCAATAATGTTGATGGCAAAGGGTCTGGGAAATGAAAAGCAGGCAACCCGACCACATCTATTCATCATGCTCCCTTCAATAAGTGTGAGGCAGGCAAGCCCTTACCTAGACTTCAAACTAATGAATCATCTGTCTAGTCTCAGTAAACCCCAAGGGATTGCTCCTGCGAACAAGGGGCTGAAATCTTGTCAGCCTCTGGATCCATAAACAAGGGCAATATGTTAAAAGGAGGCAGGTTATGGGATTTTCTGAGGAATCTCTAGTTTCCAAGTGCATTAACTTCTCCTTCAATTCAGGAAAAAGAGCCCTTTACCTCAAAAATCCTGAGAAATTTATTTTTCTAAATTGTGTACAGATGCTGATTGTATCAAATAAATTAATAGAAATATTAGCAATTTCCTATATCTGGCCACCCATTCATTGACACTGGGATCACTTCTATTCCATGATTTCCCTAGAAGCACACACATCCTCATACACATTAGAAGAAAGAAAATTCCTTCTTCTTGGGAAACACCTGCCTTGGGAATTCTTGACTGTGCAGCCTCTGACCTGCTCAAGGCTGAGCATACAAATGGTGCAGTGACTCTTTTGGAAGTCACATTTGTCCCTGAAACTTCAGTCACCTGGAGACTGCATGCCTCATTGCCTGCAGCAGCTCAATCCTGACAGTGTGGAATGAGTTTAGAAATCTCATCTGAGCAACAAAATCTGAATTGAGAGTTTATACAGTACTGTTTATTTAATGCCAGAATTATCATTCAAGGCAACTTTTGCTGACTGTGGAATTTTTCCTTTTGCTATTGGGCTATTATAATAATCTTGCTTTGGTTTGGATTTAGGGTCTGTGTGTGTGGCGGGGAGGAAATAACAGGACTCAGCTAACTACTACATCCGTTAGCTGCACATCTCCATTTTCACACAGAGAAAATTCCTGCTTCTTTACCTATGCAAACACACACACATAATTCCTGGAATCCTTACCCATTCATGCCCACTGCTTTCAGACACACACTCGCAGGGCAGCGAAGCACAAACTCCCTACATGTCAAAATCAAGCAAGGTTGAAGATGTGAAGGAGTCGATATGGCACCAGGTGGGATGTGTAATCAGTAATAAGAAATACATCGAGCCCCGAATGAAAAGAAACCCCCCAAATTGTTCAGGATTCCCCCTCCCCCTTCCATTCACTGATTTATTAACCCTGAACAAAGATGTAATTGCAGGGTCTCAGAAACAACTTTTTTTTTTCCGTCCTTTTTTTTTGTTTTTCATTTTTGGCATTTGTTTGGCTTTGAATTGCTTAATATCTAGTCATGCCATTTATTGCCTGTTTTCTTCACTCGGTTGCCCATCGTTCCCCACCGCCCCCCCCCCCCAAATGAAAGAAGCATTAGCTTCTGAGTCTTAAGGATGAGACCTCTGCATTTTCTTTGCTTGTTTAGGGCAAGAAATGAAGTGCTGCCTCTTTAATTGGCAGAAGCATGCAGGAGGAGCATACCTTTAATTTAGTGTTGGGATACCTCACTTGCACCCTGGCTGTTGTCTTATTGGAGACGGCAGCCTGCCTGAGATCCTCTAGCACTGAAATAATATCATCCAGCACGCATTTCTTATCCTGATTTCTCAACACACACAGATGGGAAAAAGTATAATTATAGCCCTTGTGGTTCACCTTCATTTCCAGCACGGCTCGGTGGGTCTGCAGGATCCCCTCAGCCTGGAGCAAAATATTGTCCCCGGGTGGGGAGAGGAGGATCACCCTGCCATATCTCCCGGGGCTGTGTAAGTCCGAATAGAGCTGGCTTTTGGACTGGTCCAGGGGGAAAAGGCTGCTGGCCAGGCTGCGCTCGATCTTGGCCAGGCTGTGGCTGGGAGCGACCAGGCGCTCCAGGTCGCCCTCGGGCTGGAAGCGGTTGAGCGCGCTGAGGCCGAAGGTGATGGTCAGGACTGCGGGCACGGTGAGGAAAAAGACCGGGTGCCGGCTCACGCACAAGCCCAGCCTGTGGCAGAACGACTGGAGCCCTCTGCGAAGCACCTGCCGCAGCATCCTCCACCAAATCCAGCTCGCAGGCGCTCCCGGCCGTCTTAAAAAGCACATGTGACATGTGTAAGCGCCGGGCTACCCCGCTTCTCTCCACGCCCCCCACGCCCCGTCTCNGGGTCGTGGAGGGAGGGACTCGAGGGCTTCCGGAGGAGGCAGCCTTTGCGCCCCTCGTTTCCCTGTGCTCTCGAATTCGGCTAGTCGGACCAAGGAACGGAGCTGAGAGGATGATGCTGCATTTTTAACACACCACAAAGCATGCAAGGGATTTCCTTGCAAAGCCTTCCACGCTGTCTTTCCCCAGGCTTCAGAGACCCCATCTATTGGCGGTGCGTTGGGGCTCTAGGGATCCTTCCTTGCTCTGGTGATTGGAGACGAGGCATTTGCCAATAGCAGTCGCCTGTGGCTTTGGGTGTGTGTGTGTGTGTGTGTGTGTGTGTGTGTGTGTGTTGGAAGGCTACGGGTGTGTTTGTGTTGGAAGTGAAGATCCGCAGGCAATATGTGGTTTCTCATAAAATATTGCATTCACTTCGGTACTTTTGAAGTTTAGGACCAAAAGTTCCTAAAACTGGTTTTAGTCTTTTTCTCCCATTTCCCCTTCTGCCCTTCATTCTTGAGGACTGAGAATCTATCTGATTTTTACCCTTGGAGTGAAATTCCAGAAACAAACGTTTTGGGACACCTAACGCCTAGTCTTTGTTTGAAGAAAGGTGAGTTAGGTAGAAGGGATACACATTGGAGTCAACTAATGTATAAAACAGTCACCTTCGCCATATGGAAAATGGAAGAACCTTTACCTGAAAATTAGATCAATTTCAAAAACTTTAATAAGTGTGTGTATGCTGTTTACTATCTATTGGGACTTTCACAGATTCATGTTCTAGAAAGAATAGGAAGAAATTTTGAGGGCAGGTTCTCAAGTTTGATGATGAACTGGAGATGTGCTCTCCAAAGTTTCTATTCTTTTTACATTGACCTAATAGAGATGATTTCACTCACACTCTCTTAATCACATCCTTCACAGGATGCTTAGAGATGCACCCATCAAAGCATACAAACTAGCCAAGGGATTTATGCACCTAATTGATGCCTTTATTTTTGTTAATGGATCTGTTCTTCAGCAGAGAGACCAAGGAGACAGGAGAGAGCTCAGAAACAGAGTCACTGCTAAAGATGGTGTTGCTCATAAGAATAAAGAAAAATCTTAGCCCTTAAAAATGGAAAGTGTTCTCGGTGACCATTCAGCTTGAATTCCTACCCAGGACAGAAATACTTCCTATAATATTCCCAGTGGTTCTCTATCCAGCCCAGGCTGCAAATTCTCACAACTAAAAGCTCACTAATTTTTCTAGGAACCAATCTGTTTTTAGACAGTTTCCCTAAGTTCAGCTAAACTCATTGTTCTTGCAACATTCATGGACTAGTTCTCCCTCTTTTTCACCCGGAAGGGTCCCCCGTGCATCCAACAGTCACTTTATGTAATGTATTCCATTAATGCCACGTGATAGAGAATTGTTTTTGGCTATACAACAAAGAGGAAATGTATCTGTCATCCATTTTCTACACCCTTTTCATTATATTAAGTATATTTGGCTGTATCACCTATGCGAAATTTTCTAAGAAATAGTCTTGTTGCAAAATATAGAAGAATAGACTTCAGGAATGGAATTTTACTTGGTGTCAAGTAAGTTACTGAGTTTATATTATGGATAAAGACATTTTGTAGATAAAGAACTGTAGAGTGACGTGAGTTTAAGGCTACACTTAGAGTTATTTGCAGAGCTGACGCCAGTGACTGGCCTTGGTCTCCCGTTTCTGGGCCCAATGCATTTTCCCTGGCAGCTCTGGATCAGGCTGGTGCCTCTCTTTCTCACAATGAACAGATAGGTCAGAATTGTTTCCTCTCTTCTCACTCTGTCCGTTTTCCATACCTCCTTCCTCAGTAAATTCAGTAGGATTAAAGAAGAATAAGGGCTTTCCTACTGGCTCAGCAGGTAAAGAATCTGCCTGCAATGCAGGAGACACGGGAGATGTCTTCCTTGGGTCAGGAAGAGCCCATGAAGGAGGAAATGACAGCCCACTCTGGTATTCTTGCTTGGAGAATCCTATGTACAGAGAAGCCTGGCAGGCTACAGTCCATCGGATCTCAAAGAGTTGGACAATGACTGAGCGACTAAGCACATGCACACAGAAGAATAAAGATAGTCAATGGGTAATTGACTAAATAACTTTGGATCCATCCCTAAGATGAACTACTTTGATATAAATACAAATTATGTTGTAAGATTATAATGACGTGAAAACATGTAATGACATAAAGTTTAAGTGAACAAGTATATACAGGATTAAACCACTTTGAAAAATGAAGATAGACCCATTTAAAAAAAATAGGTTAAATCAGCATTAAAATGTCTTTCTATTGCAAGATGATAGGATTAAGATGTGATTTCTTTTTTAAATAACTTCTAAACTTTGGAACTGTTTTAAGTTATGGAAAAGTTGTGAAGACAGGACACAGAGTGTTCTTATATCTCACATTCAGTTTCCTACTGTCAATTTCTCACATTAGTATGGTACTTGCATGACAATTCATGAACCAATATTGATACATTATTTTTAACTGAAGTCCATACTTTAGATTTTCTCCATTTTTACTAACATCCATTTTTTTGGGTCCAGAATCGCATTCAGGACAATACATTGCATTTGGTTATCCTATTGCCTTAGGATCCTCTTGGCTGTGATAGTTCTCAAACTTTCCTCCTTTTTGATGACCTTGATAGATTTCAGGAGTACCGGTCACATACTTTGTAAAATGTCCCTCCCCTGGGAATTGTCTGATTTTTTTTTTTTTTTTTTCATGATTAGACTGGGGTAAGGAGTTTTGTTGAAGATGCATACAGAGGTAAAATGCTGCTTTCACTACAGCTTATGGAGGGTACACTCTATCAATGTGACTTGTCACTATGGATATGAACCTTGAATACCCTACCTGAAGTAGTGCTTGTCAGGTTTTTCTGCTTTAAAGTTACTCTTCTTCCATTTGCCTTTCCACACTGTCTTCTTTGGAAGGAAGTCAATATGTACAACCTACACTTAAAGAGTGGGAGTTATGGTTCACCTCTTTCCTCCTTGAGATTGGAGTCTCCATAGGTTATTTGGAATTTTTCTACATGGAATACTGTTCTCAATATAGACTCATGGATATTTCTAGAGAGTTATTTTATATTTTGGGCTATAGTTTTGATATTACTTTGTTTACTTTGTTACCCAAATTGTTCCAGTTTTTGTGATGGGGAGCTCCTTTGACATATCCCATTATTGTGAGATATCTTTTTTAAAGGTATTCCTTATTTTCTGGCGGTATAAGATACCCCAGGCTCATCTCCTATCTTTCCTGCTCCAATTCTAAAATCATCCATTTTTCCAAGGGGCCATGCTTCATTTTATTGTACAGTGGTAACAGAAACAAAGATTTGGGCACCTTATGTGCTGCTTGCTCTTGGGATGTTATTGCTTCTAAGCCCTCTCAGCTGACAGAGAAAGGAAATACATGGGTCTGTACTAATCCCTGTATATGTGTATATATAGAGTTCTTTATGTAACTCTCTGTATCCATGTTAAGCTAAATATGAGTTTATACTTTCGTCTCCAACTATAATCTATTGCCAGATGGATTTTGTAGCCTCTTCCCGTTGCTTACCTATAACTTCCCCCTCCAACAATGAAACACTGACTCTGTGGGAAATTTTGAAATCACATTGCTATAATGAAAGCATACTAACTTTTAATTAGAAAAAAATATTTAAGAGAAAGAAGAAAAGTATGGTTTCTTAATTTCAATTTTACAAAAAGTTAATGCCAAATACCAGTATGGAAGAAAAGCATGGTTTTTAATTTTGATACTGTTAAAAGCTAATGCCAAATATCATATTAGAAAGATAAATTATATGCCAAAATTAAAGGAGATGTTAGGAATATTCTAGATCAACCTACAGGTTAATTTGCACTAAACCATTCAGTGGATACCAGTTGTGTGATGATTCTAGTGAATCTGACGTAAAATAAAGCTTGGTATAAAGGTGAAAGCAGTTCAGTTCGGGAACAGTCAGTGATAACACAGTAATCTGTGCTGTTTAGTTATAGGGTTTGTCTTTTCTGATATATCTTGGCCAAGGTGAATTTTCAAGACTTGGAACCCAGTCAGATTTTATCTACTTGTCCTTTTGTAGGTTAGGGCACCAGAAGGAGGTGAACTTGGACACAGAATGGTTGAGTTCTAGGTCAGCTCTACAAGTTACTTCATGGATATTTTGGGCAGGACAGTAAATCTCTGAGCCTCAGGTTGTCCGTATTTGTAAACCTATTAACCTACTTGTTCACTTCAGTCATATCACTGTTCACCAAAGCTGTGACTCCGCTGCATTAATTAATGCTGTAATATGAGCAATTGTAGCAAATAAAACACTAAAACTCAGAAGTGTAAAACACTAAAAGTTTATATCTCGTTCAAGATGAACAGTCTATTTTGGATATTCCTGCTGAGCAGAACAGACAGAGGACAGAGGCCTGTTTCCTTGGAGCACTCATCTGCCTTTAACTCATGGCTTCCAAGGTCATTCCTAAGGCCATTTTCTAGCCAGCCAGCTGAATGGGGGAGAGAGTCTGGAAAAGCACATCTGGAAGGTTTATGGCTCAGTCTGGAAAGAGGCATACATCACTTCCTCATATGCCTCCAATTAGTCACAGGAGAAGCTGAATGAAGCAGGTCAGCTGTGTATCTAGGGAGAAGAGATGGGTATGACGATCATGGTGCCAACTCTTTCACCCCTTTCCTGGTCTCTCTTGCCCTGTTTACCCTCAACCTCTGCTGTGTATTCAAGGTGAACATCTGGCACCCTTTGCCATTTCATGGAGGACTCATTGCTCTGCACTGCCAGCAATGCTGGCTTTGGGGCTTGAAGAAAATACTCAAAATTGAACACCTTCTGTGATAGCTTTAAGGAACTTTCCTTGGCTTTCCCACCCTCTTGGTAAGGCTGGTTGTATCCAGAAAAAGTGTGTCTGAGAGGGAAATTTTAGAGGCAGTTTT